CGTTGATGTCTGAAAACGCTAGTGAAAACGGATACTTTCGAATACGGTGCGCATTGAATACGCTCGATTTTCAGTGTGAACACCAAAATACGTTAGCAACGGCAACACAATACGTGGTTTCTAGCCCACCAAATCTTAAAAATTTTGAAATTGAGAATTCACAGTGGACTGGTAGCTGTTACTACAAAGTTTTTCACGATTTGCTTTTATTCAATTTTATTCATAATGACGCCAATTTGTTGAGGATTCGTGAACGCCTCTTTCCAAAAATGAGGCCACCAACAGCGTTTTTGTTGGAATAGTGTGAACACCTATCGTATTCAAATCGTATTCATTTGAAAACGGATAAATGTGAACGGACAGCGTTTTAATCAACGAAAACGGAGCGAAAACGACAATCAGATTAAACAATTTTACATAAAATATGGCTTCAAAACGAATGTAAGTAGTTAAGTACAATACTTTTGTTATAAGAACAATTTTTTAAGAGTATGAGCCTAAAATTTTTTCAAAAGTTAAGAACAAATTAAAAACAAGATTAGGCTAAGCTATTGTAAAATGTAATTTTTGACAATGTTTCTCAAATCTCAAAACAAGGAGTTTTTTGTCATCTAGGGGCATTTTTGTGTGTACTTTCAAATTTCTCGGCAAATAACAGATGTCTCACTCATTTAGTTGCCAAACGAGGCCTGAACACCTCCCTGGAGCGCATAGCAATGATACTGCTTACACTATGACAAATTCAAGAACAAACTAAGAACAACCATGCCTCCAATTTTGGAAAAGTTAAGAGCAGCCAGGCTGACCGTAAATTTACTAGTTCTTATAAAACCGAGTGTAACTCTAATTACAATTCAGATTGACGAACAACTAACATTTGACCCCCATATTGATAAAGTCTGCAAAAAAGCTGCCATACAGCTAAACGGAATCAAAAGGGTAGCAAACCTCAATTCATGGGTAGCAAAGAATGACTTTTAACCTTTTATTCATTATCATTCTTTTTCACTTCAATTGCTGCCCCTTTTATTTGGGATTTCTGCAGTAATGCAAGCAAAAGTAAGCTTGATAAAGTAAAAAAAGAGGTCCCTACAATTAGCGCTCTCAGACTAAATATCATTGCATTCCAAACTTCCAGTCAAGACTAAATCTACTAAAATTCACTCTATAAGGCCGCTAGCACTTGAAGGATAAAAAACTTTGCACAACTTGAACTCAGCCTATATGAAAGAGTATTTTGTCCAAAAGTCCACTGTCTTTGAAGTAATGATATCATTTCCCTCCCCAATGTTAAAGCTACAAATTTAAAGTCAATGAGCTTTTTTGGTCCAAAGATTTGGAATTCTCTTCCAAATGAAATAAAGTCATTCAACAAAATGCAAATCAATTAAAAAATCTCACGAAGGATTGATATTTTGAAAAACAGTACCCCTACAACACTTGCAGTCAATAGCTTCCAGAGTGCAATCTCTAAAATTGCTTCATGTTGGTGTATATTTGCGTTCACACTTTTGTAAAATCAACATTGATAAGGTATCATTTCTAACCATGTATTCAATTCAGTCGGAACAGAACATTTACATTTAGAACATTGAATTGCATTTAGAACATTGACCTGCATTTAGAATATTGAATTGCATTTAGAACATTGAACTGCATTTGGAACATTGAATTGCATTTAGATGTCTGAAATTAATAAGTAATTTTGTCGATCATAAAAATCTCTGTGTTGTCAATAGGAACCCAACCGGTGATTTATGGTTAACAAGTCCCATTTGGGGTTTTTACGTCTGCAATCGACATTTTTCATGCTGCTACCATGAATTAGGCTTCTAATACATATCTTAAGCGATTCACTCTAGTTCACTTGATGTCATGGCGTGTCAATCCGTACCACCTGGCTACTTAAAATACAAACACGCTTCAGCTTTTATCTATTGCCTGTATCTCTAGCTCACGGGGTTCAGAAAAAAACCTTAACTTTGCCCTGTTTGCCTTCCTCAAAACTTCTTCACATCTTTTTTATTAAAGTTTTCTTAAGAAAAATGGAAGTTAAGTGAAATAATTTTGGTTTCGTTTCTAAGCTTTGTCGAGAAAAAATAATGTTCGAGTACAACGTTGAATTCCTCTCATTTTACACACTCTTGTCAAGTCATCATTGACCTTCCTCAAAACTACTGTATCGTTAGATAATTTTCCTCCGGCTCGATAACTTCATCGTTGGAAAACTTCATGCCAAGAAAGCATAATGTTTTCTAGATTCTACCAACCCCATTTGTTTCTTCGTAGCAGTTGCAAACCGATCTGATTCCTGCAACATGCCAAAATATATACGCAAAACGTCTCCTTTCCTCGCCAATCCTCTTTTACAACTCTCATGTTGCTATTATTGACTCAAGAACAAGCTATAGTCACTTCAAAACACGACAGCTCTCTTAAACTTTGCCATAAAATCTTCTCGGCTTCTTTTAACAAAGCTTATTGCTAGTTTATTAATGTCCCTCTACGTTCCTCTCCATTCTCTAATTAAAAGTTACTGGCATAAGAGGCATCTAGGTCCCATTGCCAACAAAGCGAGTGAGTCACCCTTTATACTCCAGCAAGTTTGTAAATTCACCGACGAAGTCCCCATGGATGTAAAAAATTCCACGATTTTTTTCGAAGGGGTATGTCATACCCCCACTCCTCCATAGCTACGGCCCTTTTGACACCACTCCACATACTATAGCATCAGAAACAATAATGTTGGGGACATTTTGGATAATGATCTTATTTTTATATTGTTATAGCTTCAATTTGTTTTATTGTGTGATTTTACCAATCTTAATCATGCCATGTTGATGTTGTCCCGGACACTAAAGAATGACGTGAACATACACAATGACGTTAGAATGTGGCGCAAGGCAAAAAACCTTGGAACAACAACTTGCCTTCTAAAGTTGCTTGTAGACATTGGAATGCTTTCTCCTTACATATGTTGTGTGAAATTTAATATAGAAATCTGCTGATAAACTACAGTAGTAGAGAAACAACAATTACCACATTCGATGTTGCAGAAGTTTGGGCATATTTCAGGTATCAAACATTTATTACGAACCACCGGAATTTCAACTTTTCTTCCCACCTGGCGAAGACTGAGCTATTATTGAACTTCGAATGCTCGCTCCTCAATTAGCTTACTGAAAGAATGGGGTTACCGAGGGGGCTAGCACCACGTTTGTTGCTGGCTGTTGTGCTCAAGGGAGTTGGAGGGGGGGTTCCTATAGTTCTTAACATCCCTTTATAAACTCCTTGTTTTAGCAGATTTACAATATCGGCTTTATGATTAATATGAAACCCCGGCTCCCCGTAGAGCAAATTTTTGAACAAGCGATTAACTTCTCCACCCATTTTGTCCTTTGCTTTTTTCATTCCAATGTTTTTATGCCTTTTATTAATGACATATTTGTATTCTTTCTTCTCCATAGTAAAGTTAAATAAAACATTTTCTTTATCTAGGTTGGTTGAAATGATTGTAGTGGGGCTCAAAACCAACTTTTAGAAGACAAATCAGTTGATTTTAATAAAGGCAGAAACATTTCTCGACATTTTCGTTACAAATGTAAAACCTTTTGTTTTCTTTAGCTAAATTATCATCCTTGGTTGAAGATTATATGATGACAACAAATGAAATGCTACATGCTCTAATTAAAAGTTACTGGCATAAGAGGCATCTAGGTCCCATTGCCAACAAAGCGAGTGAGTCACCCTTTATACTCCAGCAAGTTTGTAAATTCACCGACGAAGTCCCCATGGATGTAAAAAATTCCACGATTTTTTTCGAAGGGGTATGTCATACCCCCACTCCTCCATAGCTACGGCCCTTTTGACACCACTCCACATACTATAGCATCAGAAACAATAATGTTGGGGACATTTTGGATAATGATCTTATTTTTATATTGTTATAGCTTCAATTTGTTTTATTGTGTGATTTTACCAATCTTAATCATGCCATGTTGATGTTGTCCCGGACACTAAAAAATGACGTGAACATACACAATGACGTTAGAATGTGGCGCAAGGCAAAAAACCTTGGAACAACAACTTGCCTTCTAAAGTTGCTTGTAGACATTGGAATGCTTTCTCCTTACATATGTTGTGTGAAATTTAATATAGAAATCTGCTGATAAACTACAGTAGTAGAGAAACAACAATTACCACATTCGATGTTGCAGAAGTTTGGGCATATTTCAGGTATCAAACATTTATTACGAACCACCGGAATTTCAACTTTTCTTCCCACCTGGCGAAGACTGAGCTATTATTGAACTTCGAATGCTCGCTCCTCAATTAGCTTACTGAAAGAATGGGGTTACCGAGGGGGCTAGCACCACGTTTGTTGCTGGCTGTTGTGCTCAAGGGAGTTGGAGGGGGGGTTCCTATAGTTCTTAACATCCCTTTATAAACTCCTTGTTTTAGCAGATTTACAATATCGGCTTTATGATTAATATGAAACCCCGGCTCCCCGTAGAGCAAATTTTTGAACAAGCGATTAACTTCTCCACCCATTTTGTCCTTTGCTTTTTTCATTCCAATGTTTTTATGCCTTTTATTAATGACATATTTGTATTCTTTCTTCTCCATAGTAAAGTTAAATAAAACATTTTCTTTATCTAGGTTGGTTGAAATGATTGTAGTGGGGCTCAAAACCAACTTTTAGAAGACAAATCAGTTGATTTTAATAAAGGCAGAAACATTTCTCGACATTTTCGTTACAAATGTAAAACCTTTTGTTTTCTTTAGCTAAATTACCATCCTTGGTTGAAGATTATATGATGACAACAAATGAAATGCTACATGCTGCAAAAGATCGAAGAAAATGGAAGGCCGTGACCACCTACGCCCATGATTGGCATGATACCCATAGAGAGAGCGAGAGAGAGATAAAGAGATGGAGCTAAATTAGCGAACCCCCGGCGCTCTATTGATGAGTTGACGAGAGCAGTTGCCATGTCAACAAGGGACAGAAACCATAGTAATGTCGATGGAAACAGCCTTTGATTTCGGATTATTAGAATCAGCCCGCTTTTAAAGGTCTTGTTCGATGAATTAACAGAACATCTTGATAACGGATTGAAACTAAGACTGGTATCGTCGAATTAGCTTTGCTCATGTTTTCCTGGAATATTTTTAAAGATTGAACCAACGTTTTTTTTCATCGGATCTCTCCCGCGTTTTCGAATTCGACTTCAAGACCCGTCCTCGCGTGGTTTTGTACGCTTTCAATAAAAAACTTTCCAGATTTCTCATTTTCATAATGGGTTGTACTCCAAGCACTCAAGTCGTCACAACTGGGAGCACTTCTCCGCCAGTTAAGTCTCAGAATGCTGCTGTGAAAGCTCCAAAGCCGAAAGCTGCTGCTGCTTCAAAACCCAAAGCAAATGGTTCCGATCACAAAAAGCACAAGAAAAAAAGCTCTCATGGATCAAGGCGGGATTCATCATGTAAGAAGGCCTAATTTGATCATCATTTTATAAAATTGCATTTACTTGCCTTAGTGTCAGCGAATCGGGCGACCTCGTGATCTTCTTGTGAATAAATTCGAGGGAATTCTCTATGCCCTACTGCCCCTTGGGTGGAAAAGTGGGATGTCTGATGGCCATTTTACATTTCGGTGTTTTTGATTTAAGTCAATAGTCTGTTCGGTCAATGTTTTTATTTTGGATTTATTAATTGGTTGCATTGGTTTTTCGTTAAAGGTCTTGCAGATTTAACGATTCACTTTTAAAAAGAGATGTTTTATCGTTCAGTGTCATAGTTACAGTCAAAATTGCAAAGGTCGTGTACTTGCTAGCCACAATCAGCAGTCGTGTACACCTGCTCCGAGCGACTCAATAGACAATTCTTTATAAGCACTATCTCTTATTATTGTTTTTAATTCGGCTTTGCCTTGATCTATGTCATGGATTTGCCAGACGACTACTTCGATATTTATAATGCAAACTGATACCACTAATTTAAATTTGGATAGCGCAAAGTTTTTTTAACAACATTTCTTGTATTTATTTTATCTAAACTGTGAACTTGAGCTTTGAATATTCAGCATTGAATTTTCTCACCATGCATGACTGAATACCACTTTGAACTAGTAAATTATGTTGCCTTTAAAAATTTCTAATTTCACTTTTCTACTAGAATCATTAAAAATCTCAAGCAATCTTTAAATTTACAAAAAGTCTTGTCAAGAGTTATATTTATCTGTCAAAAAGTAACCAAATGTTCTGTGGTTTTTTTCTTTACAACCAAAAAAAATGAAAGATTTTAGGTACACACAAGCTCATAAGATGTTTTAATTCTTGAATTAGAATTAAACTTTGATAATTTTTTATTGATATGTGCTGAAACATTTTATGGTAAATTCCAAATCAGTCTTTTGAAGAATTTTTATTTTTTTTTGGTAGAGATAGCATATGTGGCTTAAAGAATTTAATGAGCAATATGTTAAATTATCATTTTGTAGCCATCCTTGGAACTTAAATTATAGGTTAGATTATAAATATGAATTGATACTATGTTGTATTTTAGTATCTTAAAGTAAATTTTGATATAATATGCCAGGAAAGGTGTTTTCATATAGATTTGTCATACCTATTAATTTTTTTAAAATTGCTCATACTTTGATTGACAAAATATCAAAACATAAGACTGACAAAAATTTCCCAATTTGCAAATTAAACTCAACTTCTTGCCAACAGATGGTTGATTTGTTGAATTATTCAACAACCTGATCCATGATATAAGTCTTATTGATATGCTAGACACTCTTGGCTTATTCTACTACATTGAGTTTCAAAATGAATGCAAAGTTCTGCTAGATAAAATATAAAATGTTTTATCACAAATAATATTGCATTATAATATAAACTTTTGAGCTGCTAGTTTTTAAAGTTTTTAAATCCAAACTGCTATAGGTAATACATTGTTCTACAAAATCCAATTTTGGTATTTATGACCCTGTAGGTATATCTTAGGGTTGGCCTCAGCAAATTGAACTTTCACAAATTTAAACACAATTTTAGTGATACAGTTAACACAATGCGCCCCACAAAAGAAGGCATTAAGGGTACTGAGCACTTTTTGTTCCATTTCTCTTCTTTTGACAAGGAACCATGTGATCTTCTCACTGGAGTCTTGGTTGCAACCATTTGGATATACTAATCTTCATGCAAGGTTCTAATGGAGCTATTATTATATTGTGATAAAGATTTATCATATTATCTTAATAGAAATATATTACTATTAACTTTGCAGTTTATCTGCAAAACTTGTAGATTTGTTTATCTTCCACCACCTTATCTTTTTCTTAGTATTTTGTTTGTAGTTATGTTTGTTGCTAGGCTGCAGCTAGGCAAGACAGGCCTGAGGGCATATGCCACTATTGACCCAATTGGTGCAAAAACTTGTTTGGGCCATGCCCTGTTTTCACTCCTAGAAAGGTCCTTTCTCTGAAAAGCAGCCTTTCTTATGAGAGAAAGCCTGGAATGATACATCATCATTGAATTATATAAAAAACTTAATTTTTAAGCATAAGGGCACTGCCTCGATTCCCCCCCCCCCTATCTGCATTGCTCGTTTTTTGTATGTGTGAAACTCAGTAAACTGTTCACTTTTTCTCGTGTTTAATGGCCCCAGGGCAGACTTAACCATTTGCTCCTCAGGGTATCACCTTAGTTGTTTTTTTAGAGTATTTTTTCCTTTAAGAATTTTTTTTTGTAAGATGTACTTGTAAAGTTTTACTGTAATATATAAAAAAGAATGACTGCTGCTCATGTGTAATCCATACAAGAAATGATTTAATGAAAATTACATTTTTGCCAGTCAGTCATATAGTTGGTATAAACAGAGCCAGGGCTGCCAAGAGCAAGGCTGGGCCCCAGGGCAGCCAATGAGGTAGCTTGATAACAAATATAGATTCCAGAATATGATGATTAATATTGACTCGATATTTAAAGGCCTCGGAATACACTGAAGCCCAGGGCACCCACTCCAGCTACCCCCCTCTGTCAGCAGACCTGTACATGCTTTGATGGATTGAACCGGACAGATCTATTTTGCAATCATTGCCTACATTGCAGAGAAGAATGAATTTCAATTCTGTAAACAGAAATTCTAACATGTATTTGTACCGAGTGGATTAGTGTTAATCTCTTTGATGGGAAGATAGAATTTACTTGCAGCTGGGAATATACCATCTACCTGCCTGTTTAATGATCTTTTATTAATTGCAGAGCTGCTGTACACCAAATCTTTACAATGTGCACTTTTGAGGAAACAGCCTATTTAAAACTACTTGTATAATATACAGAAATAAACTTAAAATCTTTATTCTTGCACATTTCTTTATTATGAACCAAAATCCACCCTCAGATTTGTCAATGTCAAAAATCTTAAAACTTAGCAGGAATTAACCAAAATTTCTTTACTGATCCATTAAAACATTTGTTTGACACATTATTCAAAGAAAAATGTTCTCAGTATCATATCTTCCATCATATTTTATATCCAAAGTTATCTCTTGATTACAAATTATTATTGATGCTCTGCTGGTACCTGTAAGTGATGCATTAAGCCATCAATCATTTATTTTTTGAATTTGTTGCAAACTTTATATCAGTTCTTGATGTGCAAACAATATTAGGCTCAAGCAACTGCAAACAAAACAGACATGTCTGCAAAAGCATAAGTCTGTTAGAATTCTAAAGACTTTTGGCTCTTTTAAGAAATAGAGATAAACAAACGAAACCTTTTCACTGCAGACATTTATAAAAACAACAACAGGAAGACTTTAATGCTGAACATCATGCTACAAGATAAAACAATAGAGGTGTTACTGATTGCAGCACCATGTCAATCAATTAAACAAATAGGTGTCCATTGTTTCTGTGACAGGGGGTAACTAAAACATGGCAATGTAAATTTCATCATCATAATTCCAACAAACTCTAATCTTGTGTGATGAAATGGTACCAGATACTATTGTTTTGAAAGGACAAAGGCAAAATTTTATAACAAACCAAATCTTGAAAATTATCCTTTGGCAGCCTATTTTGCCTCCTTGGTACATTAACAAAATCAATACCAAAGGTCTGAAAACATATTTTCTAAAACATGTATAAGCCATACCTATAAACCATTTTCGTCTGCAGGCATCAGGTGTTTGTAGTGCTTTTTGGCAGGGGGTAGTTAGAAGGGGGTCTGACACTCCCAAACTTTCATGAGTTGATTGGTAAATTTTCAGTTGGTCCACAAAGATCACTAAAATTGCCTATCTTTAAAGCTGAAATAGCACCTAGATTTTTCTTCATATAGTCTTATTAAAGGTTAAATTTTACTCTTTATGACTCCTTCCCCCTAACAGGGAAGGTCAAGCCACATCACTGATTTTGAGATTTTTGAAAATATTTGCTTGCAGGCTAAGCTGTTTTTAATTTAATTCTCAAGCATCAAGTTTGATGAAATTATCTTTTTTATAAATAATAAATGATATTTTATTTTAATTTTATCGAAGATATGGTGCTCATATGGCACCCAACTGCAACAAATTTTCATTCCTGATGGAATCAGGATTTATGAACACTAAGAATAACATTAATCTGACCACTCTTTTCTTCTATTGTAGCAAGTCATGGGTCACATCATAGCCACCATAGTCATCACAGTCACCATAGCGACCACAATGAAAATCACCAAACTGTTACCAACATAACTGTTATCAATATTAATCAAAATGATGCAACTTCCAATGTTGACAACCAACCTGAAGAACAAAATGTTACTGAAGTAGAGAGTGCTGAACCCCAACCTGTTGCTGCAGCAGAAACCCAAGGTGCATGTGACACCCCTGCAGATGGAGAAGGGGAAGTACCTGCTGAAGGGGAAGCACCAGAACCTGCAGAGGGCGAAACAACTGAGGGGGCTACAGGCGATAGTGCCCCCTCAGATGCCCCAGCTGAAGATGCTGCAGCTGAAGATGCTCCTGCAGAGGATACCCCAACTGAGAATGCCCCAGCTGAAGATGCTCCTGCAGAGGATGCCCCTGCTGAGGATACCCCAACTGAGAATGCCCCAGCTGAAGATGCTCCTGCAGAGGATGCCCCAGCTGAAGATACTCCTGCAGAAGATGCACCAGCTGAAGATGCCCCAGCTGAGGATGCCCCAGCTGAAGATTCTCCTGCAGAGGATGCTGCACCTGAAGATGCCCCAGCTGAGGATGCCCCAGCTGAAGATGCTCCAGCTGAGGATGCCCCAGCTGAAGATGCCCCAGCTGAGGCAGAACCAGAGCCTGAGCCAGAACCTGAAGCAGAACCTGAGCCAGAACCCGAACCAGAACCGGAAGCAGAACCTGAGCCAGAACCCGAACCGGAGCCTGAACCTGAAGAAGAGCCCGAGCCAGAACCAGAGCCTGAGCCAGAGGAACCAGCTGAAGAATGAGGTAGAAGAATTGACATATATGTCAAATTTATAATTTGTACAGTTTCGTGCCAGGAGATGCTGTGCGATTAAGAAAGATTAAAATTGACATTTCATTTCTGGACATGGAACCAGAAAGTATTGCCACTTGTAAATTGCTGAATAAGAGAAGAGACCCTTGACTTGTTTTTATCCAAGTGTATAAACAATTAAGTTTGCGAAAATTAAGTGGGTATAATACATTTCTAATGGTGATTTGTTTTCAATTTGCTGTATTTGTTATCACAGCTAACTTTTTTATGATCAAGTGAATGAATGTTTCCATCAGTTGTGGGTAGCTGCTAACCAGACATGGGGATTTATAAGTAAGTTCAGGGTTTGTCAAACTACATCATAACGTAATGGGATCAAATTTAACTCATGGATCAGTCTGAAACTAAGAAGCCAAATTTCAGACATGGTAACCAACCTTGTTTAAACAATTATATTCAGTAGCATCGGTTTGAAGATGTCCTTTGGCAGTAGAAGATTCATCAATATTTTCCCAATTAAGGAAATGTTTCTCTGTTGCTTTCTCATTGCAATAAGTAACATAAAATTGCCTAAAATAGAAAATTTTGCGTGTTTCATCGCTAGCTAAGACCATCACACGCACGCAGCACACAATTGTTATGAAATAACACGATAAATCTTCCTTGTATAGAGACTATATAGTTGCAAAGACGGGGGTTTGCAAATAGAGAAAGCTAGGCCTGTATCCCAAATTAATATTGATTTACTTTAACAGCACACAAATAACGATAGAGATAATAGGTTTCTACACGTTGAGAGATTTGTACATACATGTTAGCGTACTTAGCGTAGCATTATTATTTTTGTTACTTATAAGTTGAAAACTGTATCTTTTAGATATTTGTCATATTCGTGCTTCTCCTAGAAGTAGCAAGTTTGTCGCATTTCTCCGAACAAGGCCACTGGCGCATCCTTCTCTACATCATAGAAAATTATACCAAGCTCAGATTAATGTATCTTCAGATTTTATGAAAGTACTAAAATGTCTCGGTTTTGCTAATGATGCTAAAGATTGCTGGCGTTGTTGATTGAAACACTTTCTTTATGTAACAGAATTAATAGAGTCGGTGGTGTTCGTTTCACAACTCAAAATCAAACGATCAAGCCAAGAAGTAAACTGAAGGAAGCTACTTTTTAGTTATTGTAACAACCTCGATGTCTTTCTAGAACTGCCCTGGTGCAGCATTCGAAGAAAAACTTTATACGTTTTACTCGAACTTCGATCAAAAAAGGTGGTACAGGGGTCGGACACACCCTACTGATAATTCTATTGCTATTTTCCATTCAATACTATGACTGGAATACTCAAAAGCACAATTTATAGATGCGGTGAGGTTGAGTTTCAAACTTGAAAAATGCCTTGGCCACGTCAATATATATAGCTGACCCTGTCAAAAACATTTCGATTCTGCGAAAATCTTGTCAAATCATAACATGTTTTGCTATGTTAATAAAGCCGTTTAAATTATTTAAGGTGATATTCACTTGAAAGATGAACAATATTTTTGCAGCTTAATCCTTCCCCCGTTTGAGTATGCATAATTTCTTGAACCACTACTGCGAATTCTCACATAATAGATGGATGGAAGGGGCCATGACCCAGCGACGACAATATATGTTATTTTTCGTCTGTCCATTAAGGTATGTGATATTATGGTAATGCCTAATTTCGTACCAACGGGGATTATTGTATTTCTCCGGGCAGAGAAAGGGAGCAATGATCCTTGGGTAAGACCTTGTCCATATCCCAAAAATCCCATATAATTGCAGCAAATATGCAAAGAATCTAGAAAAACCTGGGAAGGTGCTTTGGTTTTCCATATTGGTATAACTCCTTTGTCAGGGTCAAATGGTAGAGAATACTGAAGATAATGTAGCGAAAGAGTAAATTGAGTACCAGAATGAGATAAATTGTGATAGTTAAGAACACGTCGTTTACTCACTACATTCGCTCACTACATTATCGTTATAGAGAGGTACCTGTCTTTATTATGTGCTATTGAAATCGCCATTTATCAAGCATAGTACAGTAGAACATTAAAGGTTAGTTTTGTTGCCATCGAGTTATATAATCAAGGCAGAACTGCATTGATAAATTCATAAAGATGCTTCTTTCTGTCAAGTATCATAATTCTGAAAGATTTGTTAATATCAGCTTTTAACTCTGTATTAAAACGTTATATGATTGCATAGTTTTTTAAGGGGAAACAAAAATTGTCTTTATCTGTCGTTTTTCTGTTTTGGCACCCAGGAGAAGGTACGAAGTAAGATTTTAAAAAATGGGATGTGGGGAACATGTATGCGCAAAAGGTGCACCTCCGTTAGCTGCAACAAGTTGACACTTTCTCTCTATTCGAAAAGTTGGGGGCACGTTCTCCCAGGTTCCTGCGTCGCTAAGGAGGAGGGAAACAGCAAGAAATAGAAACTTTTCTACCAAATATATTCATAGTTTTCCTTAGAGACACATACGTAAAGTACTTTCAAGGATTGGAGATTTGCTAGTTTGCGCATGCAGTTCGTGCCTGGCCGTACGGAGATAGACATGCCCTTGCACGAAACATTGTCCGTACAGAGATAGGCATACCCTTGCACGATCGAACGATAGCTGCACTGAAGCACTAACGTTTACCTAGGACTTGCTGTTTTAAAATCAAAAGTGCTGGTTGGAAACTTACAGAAAACAGAAAAATGAGCTATGCAATGAAGTTGTGAAGAATTAATTGTGCCAGAATCATTTGTACTTTTTGGATTTATGCTCTAACTAAAGAATGCTTCAGAATTGAAAATTATAACAAATTTGCTGAAAATGCACGTTGCGGCTTGCCCAAAACAATGGGCGTTGCGGTTGCGTAAAAGCTGTAGTCTTATGTCCAAGCTCTTTTCCACATGGTTCAAAAACTTCAAACGAGAGTGTCGATTATTTTGGCGAAAAATTACAAGCCTAGCAAAGCTGGAGGCTGCACTGCCCCTTTTCAGATTTAGATGGCCCTGAAATTCTGGCGGGGTTTTCTAAAAACGTCGATACTTAACAGGGTGCCTGGAGGCATTGCCAACATAGTCCCCTATCTAACTGGGGGTGCAAAAAGTGGCGCTAAAGATACATAGACTAAGGGAAAATAGTGATTGGAAAAGGATTTCAGAAATATTTTTTAAGGAAGATTATGATAATTGTGTTCAGCTAAAGTTCGCAAAGCGCAATGGTCACGAGACAAATTGGATATTTTCTGGCTCTTTTGTTTTTAATATAAAAGAAACAAATGAATTCGGTAACAAAGTTTTTTAAGGCTATGTAGGCTATGTAGGTTATGTAGGTAACAATGGCAGGTTATTTTCTTGACGCTTGATTTGAATAAAACAATTCTCTGTTTACAAGGAAGTTTCCTCTGCTCTCAAATTTCACAACGTTCTAAGTCCTCCTCTTTCGGTCCGCTGAAACCATATTTTTCCAAGAATTGTATGAAGCAGTTCGTTTAAAACACTAGTGAAATTAAGTGGACTTTAGCAAGCTTGTTCAACAAACTTTAAAAAAATGAGGAGCTGCTCTCATGGTCGTCTGGAAAGTGCTCTCGAAAGAAACTCGTACAAATTAAACGCGGTGAGTCAGTAACTTGCCTGGTAAATCGGTAAATCACTTCATGGCTTAGGCCTATTATTGCTTGTGAGATTTGAGTTGCGTTTGCAATCTTAGTATGGAACTTCGAACTCAGGTTTCCACTAGCCAGTTCGACGGTAAAGACGTGGTCTGGTACCCCGATACGTATAATCTGGACGAAATCGTAAACACATTTAAGCTTCCTGTGCTTGTAAAAGTTGTGGACGGGTATATGATAAATGAAATTGAATGTCTCGAGAATGGGACGATATTGAGTATCCATGGTGTCTGTAGTATGGACAAGATAATTGCAACCGACTATCGAGACACAGAACTCTACATTCCCGTCAGTTGTGAAAATACTGTTCGGCTGTCGGTGAAGGATAACAGCACATTCAAGTACGTGGCTGATATTTGCAATGCAACTCCTGTTCTTCGATATGTCACAAACATGCATGAATTTACACACCAGAAGCAGACATATCCCGAAGGCTCCGTGTTCTTGGTAAGATCAGTTTCAAAATGGAGTAAAGGCCTAAATGTAACACATTATGGTCAGAAGGAACAGCGTTTAACATTACCCTTCTCTATTGTTGGAAACTTTAAAGAAGTACCATCACCTTTAGATGCAGTTACAAGTTACTTTATAAAAGATCTAGTCAATAATGAATTTCCTATATTTGTTGAATTTGAGTCGACTGAGGGTGGAAACACAACTTACGGCCCCCTAATGGGCAAAGTAAAACTCAGAAAGCTTCTTACGTCAAACATTGTATATGGAACAAATTATGATGACGGGAAAAAGAAGCTCTTGACATTTTCACGTAGCCTTGGTGTTCGGCTGCAAATAGGCCGTGTTATTGTAGAAGATGACAGTATGGGGGAGTACTCTACCATAGCAGAGCCTGTGGAGGAGCCTATTGATGAAGAAGTACTACAATACATCCTGCACATGAACCCATACTATGGTGACTACAACACTGCTGATTACGCTGCTTTGAAAGCAACTGTGGATGCTATGAAGGGGGGAAAAACAGTCGAGTCAGACGCTAGATCACAAGAAGAAAACAATGTCTCGGACTGTAAAAAAGTGGACGCTCCTTCTGAATGCCAGCTGGAGAAAAATCTGCCAAAAGTGCCACCGCGGATTCCCAAAAAACCAAGTAGTATAAAAGTCGTTAAAAACGCTGGAAAAGGCCTTGCTGATACAGGATATGGGAGCATTACACATAAGCAGGCAGTTGTTCAGAACATGTACCAAGCCATAGATTCTATGGTTCCCCCGGCTGTACCTCAGCGCTCCCCTCGTCTTAATTGTGGAACAACAGAAGTAACGAGAGAGTTCCAAAGTCAAGATGAACATCCACCCATGGGAACACAAGAGGGTAATGATGAAGAGGCAGTTTATTCCCATATCGCTGATGGTGACCAGGCCATGAATGCCAAACCTGCACTTTCTCGGAGAACTTCCACCCGAAGCAACTCTTCAACTGATAGCTGGCAAGAAAAAGCGCTTGCTTTCAGCTTACCATTGAATACAGCAGCGAAATTCTGTTACGGAGACGAGGCGGGGGGCACTATAGATAAAAACAGGCCTTTGCTTCCTCTTCCCTCTGAAAGGCAAGGAGGTTCAAGCCAGGACGAGGGGACAAACACTGATCAATATAATGCAGTTGAAGAGCTCTCTGAATCTCAAACAAACTCACCGCGAAGGAGCCAGATCAACTCTGATTCGTGTGATGTAAAGAGCACCCGTGCTGCAAGGCGAAAAAACATGTACGAAGATATTGTCTTTCATGTAGAGACAGAGCCGAATATCGAAGAATCTGCTTTCGGTAGAAAAGAAACAGTCGAAGTGCCATCTGCGGGTGTTTCCAGGTGCAATGTGCCTGAATTTTTAAATGTCGGAGAAGAACAAAAAGTAGAGAAGAAGATCAAAGAAGTTCAAGGCCTTTCAGAAGAGCACAAAAAAATGGAAGTTAATAAAGATGAAAAGAATGAGACTCTCGATATCGAGACACGCGATTCTCATCACTTGGAAGCCAGTAAAAAATTTGACGTGATAAGCAGTGAGGTATTGGAAAAAAGTGTAATTGGAATCTGTGAGATTCTCGAGAAGCTGTGCCTTGCTGAGTTCAAAGAGCTATTCATTGATACACAAATTGACGGAGAACTTCTTGGTGACATTAACGAGGCAGACCTCGTTTCAGATGTTGAAATGAGCCTATTTCAAGCACGCAAACTCTATTTATATATACGAGGCTGGCAGCTCGATGAGGAGGTTATGTCATTTAATGCAGATGAGTCACAAAGTGACGGTGAAATGGCACATGAAGATCCAGAAAAATGGACTGTGAAGGATGTCTTCGAGAGAATGAAGTCGTTGAAGTTAAGCTCTTTTGCTGAATTTTGTAGCGAACAACAAGTCAATGGGACATTGCTTACAAAGATTCTTGACGAAGAAATGCTAGAAAGTGTACGGAAAGATCATGGAGTATCATTGAGGAGAATAGAGGAAAAGAAGCTTAATAACTATGTTCTGAAAGGATGGCGACCAAAATGAGACCTTACTTAAGCCCAATCTCCAGTGTGAAAAAGTCTTGCGAAATTTCGCTGCGAAATTCTTCACGCGACAAATTCCTTTGAATGCTTTTGTTGACCTCACGACATTGGAATGTAAAGTTTGGAAGCGTGACAAAAGAATACGGAATATGATTGGCTGTTGAAGGATTTCGCAAGCGAAAAGCGAAAAAAGTTAAACTCATTTTAACTTTTTTTCGCAGAGAAATTCTTCGCGAGAAATCCCAGCAAAAGATTACTGCGCATGCCTAAGACGTATTTCGCGCGAAGTTTTTCGCATTTCGCAGTTTTTTTTCTCACTTGAGATTAGGCTTTAAGAAAACTTTCAGAAAAAGGAAATTAGAAACGTATTTTATCGTCTCTTGTTAACATGGTTATACAAAGGGGCCCAAATGACACATATTCTAAAAATTTTAAAAGGGGATTCATTAGATCGGTGAAAGATTGTTGCTGAGGTAGGCAAAACCTACCGCCTATGAGACAAATAGGGAGGAACCATATTTTATGGCTGCTTAACTAGGGAGAAAAACATAGATAGTTTTATTTTCACATTTTTATAAACCACATTTCTACTGATATGATGTAGATATTGATTGATGATGCTATCTTTAACTACAAGATAAGTACAAAGATTATAGGGGTACCCTCGTTTGCTTGCCTTCATATAGAGTAGCAAGGAGTGACTGTCTCTATCTTTAGGGTACCCGCGTTGGTATATGGGTAAGCATATTGTGTTTCTAAATGCAAAGTCATAGCCAATATGTCTTTTAGCAATAAGTCTAAAACTGAAAATCTAAGATAACTGAGGAACAGCGTCTGTCTTTAAAATCAAGATTGCTGGGAACATTGAAAAAGTTTAGGAAGGCGGAGTCAATTTAAGAGCTATTAACTGTGTGTGTGTTTATAATGACGCGATTAAAATCGACTACGCCCATCCTCTTTACTTAAATACAAAATTTGATAAGTGAACATTTTATTTCAACAGATAAGCAGTTATGTTAAATTCCCCCCCCCCCCTCCTCCAACAATAATAATAAGCTCAACTTTCCCCGTCCTTTAGGGGTTAAGTTCCAATAATGAGAAAAGCGTAGGTAATATTTTGCAGATAGAACATAGTACATTTAAACAACATTTAATATAAGCTTTTGATAAATCTAATTAGCAAAATGACCAAAATAGAAACAACTTTATATCGTTTTATGATATATGAGAGATAATGCTACATTCCTTTTCTTGTCGTTTTTATATGAATAATTCGAATTTATATCAAGACATTCTTCTATCTATTTATGTTCTCTTATTTCAGCTCACTGCTATTGGTGCGGTAATAGAGTTCCAAAGTGATGACGTCACCAAAATCTATTTTTAGACATTTTGACCTCGCATCTAGTAAAGGCATTATGAAAATTGCCGATAAGCTGAAATATTGCCAATCTTTCCCCATAAAATCACTGTAATTTGGTCTCAGCTCTGTTCTTCATGATGCAAGCCAAAATAACAGCAATTTGTTAGCAAACTTCAAATCTTTCATTGGCCATTACTCAACTATCTCAACCATACATAACAATGTTTCAACCAGTTATACATATCAAGAGGTATTTCAAGGAGCTCTATAGAGTAATCATGATAAATCACATTGTGTGGTCAATACTAAAATAATCTAGAAATAAATTTATGATGACGTCACACGTTGGTATTTTATTGTGTTTCATTGGGAAGACATCACAATATGGCATATTTTTGTCTGAATAACTGTCAAATTGTAGGTCCTTTGGTAGAAAATAGGTAAATTGAAGCCATTTCTGGATGGAGTAATCCTTCTGAAATAAATCGATATCGACCAGAGCTACGTTTATTGTGCTCATAAAAGACTTCACACAACTATTGCTTGTATCTTCTCCAGAACCACAAATTTGTTCTTTCTTCGTTGTGAAATTACCTTTGCTTTTTCCGATGCGTAAAAAGAGACTGCAACTTTCTCAATTGATTGGCGAAACTGGCATTAATTTTTAATTCATTTTAATTCTTTGTATTTACTGCGATAAATTATCTGTAATTTTTGAATATTTGCAAAATATATTCAAAGAAAAAAACGTGTGATGTTGAAACTGTTTGCGGTTGGCCCTGTTTCTGATTTGGACGTAGTACCATTGCCTGTTAAAATGACTGTATTCTGCTTGCTCTGCTTTACATACAGCAACAATAAGTCAAATATTACAAACAAGGTGCGAGAGATGCCCATTCGTAGGCATATCAATATGCAATGTCACATTGGATTCAGATTACCTTCATATAATGCTCGACTACCTATAAGCGATTTGGTTTGCGGAAAAGGGCGGCTCTAAGATGTAACTCCACTTAAAGGCTCTTGCGCAACAGGCATGCTTTGCGAGTATGTTTTCAAAACCGGCCTAAGTTCGTACTGCATGAAAATACAAATACAACAAATTTCTCAAGACAGCTGCCGCTAAGCATGCCGGTTGCGCAAGAGCCTTTGGTGCAATCATCAGGCAACTTATGGAATATGAAATTTATACTGAACAATCACAACTGCCTGGCGATCAATCATTTTTTGAGCGTAAAACTAGCAGTTGCATCTTGAAACCATCCAGTTCCAACCCACCAAGATAACGTGTACATTCCTGCCAATATTGTATCGAGCATTTTGCAACAGTAAATATTTCAGCTTACCCATATGTCTAATATATATTTTATACACACCCTTTTAATTTTCAAGTGGTCCCACAAGTTCTACCAAAATTAATTGACTTCACTTCCTCACGCAAATCATAGCGAAACACATTTCCATCAACAATGCGCTGCCGCAAAGAAGCACGCTTGATCGCGATGCGGAAAGTGGGACCATTTTCAAAACACTGCAGCCAGTACACTCCTGTACTAATTTCTCATTGAAAGCAAAACGCAACGAGGAAGGAAAATGTACCACTTGTAAAACACATACAGCCTAGAACATGCTGATAAGAAAAGAAAGCTTTTACCAGAAGTTTGCAGTTTTATCTAAGGGTAATGCTAACATAAATAACGATCAATGTAAGTAAATTGTACCAGGAAATTTTTTTTAAAATAATTAACGACGTTTCGAGCATAGCCTGTTATCAAGTAAGATAGAAAAGCGACGATAGAACTAAAAAGCGTTAAAGGAATATGGAATTCGACGAATGGAATAGGAAGAAAAGTACCGCACGCATTTTAGTATATTAATGCTAACATGTTTATATCGGGCGTTAACCACTCAAACCCTTGCTCAACATTAACAAACTACACATGGCTCGGTTGGCAAACTCCCTCCGTTCAATAACGTGTGTAAACTGCAGTTTTGGGATTCTTGGTTTCTGCAGAGGACAAATGTGTTTTGCAACAAACGCAATTTGAAGAAAGCTTTGTAAGTTTAAAGAAGAAAGTTTTAAGAAAAAAACAAGACTTACCATAGCAGTTTACATCTTATTTTTCGTATAATTCCTTGAAAACTCAAAGTGGTTGCAAGATTGTGATGAAATATAATTTTCCTCCTTTGGCTTCCTTCACATGTGAGACCGACCTTAGGCCAAACTACTTATTTTGTGGTATCTTGAGGAGATTTTTACCAAGAGGGAAATCCGTAATTCTGTTGGGAACTGAAAGCCCGGAAAAACGCATACCATGGGACTACTGTAACAATGGTTCTGGGAATCAGTGTATCTTACATTTTTTTAATCAGCAAAGGCACACGCAGGGACGTAGGATTTATGTGAAAAATGTGCTCTGCACCAGAAATGAAGGACATAATGACCACCCAGCTTTCCAAACAAGAAGTAAGGTGATAATGCACATTATCTCGACTTGGGACGGGGGTGTCCCATCAATAAACAAACACATTCTGAAAATATTCTATACATACTGATAATAAACAAAATACTTGAAAGAGGAATATTAAAATCTGAGTCCGTTCGGAAGCATTGCGTAATTTTTCATGTTACAAGCATGGTATGAAATTCTAAGTTGAAAGGATTGTAAGAAGTTCTGATTTTTTCTTCCTTAGGAAGAGATTTCCATTTTACTGCGCTTTCTTTCTTGACAAAGAAATTTAACACCAACCTATCCTGACTGGAAAGTGAAATTCATCGCTTCCTTGCAAGTAAACAACTCAAAATCGGTAATTTTTCTACACTTGGGACAGAAATTTTTTCAGGGGTGTTAAGGTCAGGGCTGCCGAGGGCCACACCCTACCCAGGGGCGTGCCCCGTGTCCAGGCCCCTTTCTACCCAAACCAATAATCCTATAATGCGAGAAAATTCCATAACCAGCGGGGCCCTCTTTACATACGGATACAGGGGCAATCGCCCCACCCTTGTCCTCTCTTGGTGAGCCTGGTTAGGATGCGACTGCTAGTTAGCTAGCTAAACCATTAGCTTGTTGGCATCATCACGTAAACGTAGATGAAATGAGGACAGTTTTGTCTTTTTTGATGATGTCGACGCAAAATTCCACCTTCCCATGCCTAGTAAGATGGTCAAGGTCTCGACTTCCTTAGGCGATGACGTTTTAAACATCTATTTTTAGAATTTGTGACTTTTGGTTACTTAAACTGAAGTCAGTTCTTTCCTAACCAAATAATTTATGAATCAAACTAAAATAACGGTAATCTGCTAGCAAACTTCAAATCTTTGATTCGCCATATCTCGCCCACGTTCGATATGATTTTGCATATTCGATACATTTCAAAGTTTTCTTTCAGGTTAGCTAGTTAAAAGTCAAACATTCTTATAATAGATTTTTCATTACGTCACAACTCTCTTGGAAGTTCTGTGGCCATACCTTGTAGCAAAACACTGAACATAGCACACGCGTATCTTGAGGCAAGACCAAACTAATGCAGGGCTATGTTTGAAAGATTACTCTGCATTTATGCGCACAACGCAATGTTGCCCCTTCATCTATGGTTTTTACAGTATTTAGAAACATTGCATGGGAATTTTGCCAACCTGCCTCTACCTCAAGTCCCCCTTCACCATATAAATGTGTAATAGAAGGAAAACCCCTCGAAATCTCTGCTACTTAAATCACACTTTCTCCATAAAACCATTTTCTTCTCTCGTTTCCATTGATTTATAGCCACCCATTTTTCTTTTCTTATCCCAAGGGTGCGCTCGAAAGAAGGGGGGGAGGGGGCAGGGAGGTAACAGATCATAGCCTTACCTAGCATCTCTCATATCAGCATAATGCACAGATAAAAACTTTAGGCCAAATATCATTTTGTACTCAATAGCCAATCCAATTTCAAGTTGAATACAACGATCCTGATTCAATTAGTGGTTTTTTTTCTGAATCTTCCCAACTCTCTTCTATCTCCTCTCTCTTTTGTTTGAGACTGACCCCATTTTCCCTCCTATTATCCTAGGTTTTGCAAATCTCCTCTGCTCTTATTTCTATACTGATTGCTTCGGACACACTTTTTTCTCCTTTCTACCCTTGTTAAATCTGTACTCATGACGGAGGTAAAACTTGGAGAAAACTCAATGGATTATTGGTAACATAACGCATTCAACATAAACAAATGTTAAGATAACAGTATCTGCCATCTTGCTAATCGAACTAACAAAAACGTGGTCCGCGGTCTGAGAACTAGGCACCACTGAAAGGATATTGTTTCATAATGGTAAATGTTCATATTCATACATAAGTAAATATAAGTCACATCTCAACAGCCTCTACCTTCCCCATTCTCCTCTTTATTTGCTACACGCATCTCTTTCCCCCTTCTCTTATTTCTTGCTAGCCAAATCCAGCTTCAGAGCCATCAGATTTTCATCAGTTCTCTACTTTCAAGATTGAAGGGGCTTCCCCATGTTTAATCCGTATTTCCTAGTTTGGCAGATCGAGTTACACACATTAAACATTGAAAAACCTAGGTTTGATTGCTGCAGATCCGAAAGAGAAAGCAATCTCTCCAATACTACGCGGAAAGTCACAACAAGAAGTCACAACAACGCAAAAACGTGTAGTGAAAATCACAAGGAGGGAATCATGGAATTCGAAGCATTCGGCTAGGGACGTTGTTTACCACTAACAACGTGGTTTGTCAGAAAGAGAAAGGAATAATCAGATATATGATTGCCAACTAAATGATCACCAGCAGCTAAAGTGAAGAAAGGGTAAAGACATATATGTAAGTGTCAAATTTTAGTGTGTTTGTAGTAGCAAAACTTAGGCATAAAATAGTATTTACAGGTTCCGTAGATCAAATGTTGATTGTTCTAATTTCAATAATCTTACATTGTTGATAAAAGGTTTCGTAGAACATCATGCTTGTTCAAGATGGGACTTCTCTAATTTTCACCTGGAATAAGAAAACAGGCAAGAAATTGGGTTTTAAGAAAATTTCATGTTAAATACCGAATATTTGTAAATAGCTGTGCTTTTATGGCTAGGTGAAGGGCACCTTAGTTCGATAACTAAGGACCCCCAACCAAAGAGGCCCCAAGCCAACAGACATAGGCCTCTATAGCTCATCAGCTAGGGTTGTCATTTTTACATCATGCTTTTGAGTTTGACGTGCTTTACAGTCTACAATGCTGGATGGAACTTTCTTGCAGTCCGTAAATACGGGACTCGATTAACGCTAAGTTTGTTATAAAGTTAACTACTGAATCACAACTGTTTTCTTTGTTGCTAGCTTCGACCTTCGTCACTGGCAAAAATCAAGGTGAACTCTACAACTAATGTTGTGCATATAAACTGAACCTGGGTCCATGAAAAATCAATTCCCTATTTACCACCCATAACTTACACAAATCATACTTTTTTTAATTTTGACCCAATCCTATTTACAACCACATGCAATGACGCTATATTCAACCTTAGTTTTGATGTAATCCATGATGTTTATCATTCGTAATGAGACATCGTAAGGCCTCACATTCCTAAAATGGGGCCCTTTTTCTGCCAAGATGGGGCCCTTTTTGCCAAATTTAAGAGGGGGCCCACCGGCCACGGGCCGATGGGCCAGTCCGCCACTGATTCAGATCGTCATATTTCAACTAACTTCCAAATCATACAACAGCAATTATTAGTATAGTTAAAAATACTCCAAGTACCAGAGTCGTCAAGGAGCAAAAATATTTCGATTCCCCGTCATAAATTCCACTCGCGTCTCCGTTTTAATCCACGAAGGTTCGGCAACATGGTGACAAAAATGGAATGCGGAAATTTTTGGCTCTTAAGATGAAGTAGACCAAATATCCCACTCATCTTTCAAAATATCTTTGTAAAATCAATAAGATAATGAAACAATAAATTTCTTTCGCTCTGAAAAATTAATCAAGCTACAAACAAAATTGAAAGGGGGCTCATGTTACCGACCCTGTTTGGCATCTCTTTCATCCTCTTCCTCGGTAAGACAGGACGATACAGTCGCAAGATGTGATTCATTTATGAAAGGGGTTGGAGGAGAAACTCAAATGTCGAGGGAAGAGTTAGAGAGGAGACGGGTGTATTACAGCAACATGCAGCAACATAATGTAAAAAGTGGGTGCATAAATAAGAGTGATTGTTTCGTTTTGGTATTTTCAGTTTTTTATCTTCTGTAGAAGGAATGCAGAAAGAGGTAGGAGGTTGGATCTTTCTCCGCAAAGAAGTCCAAAAAAGTGTTTAACCTTCGGGGCAATAAGCTATAATTTATAAAAACCTAAATTGAAAATTGAGCGATGTCGGGGTGCAGCATTAAAAATTCTATATATTTCGATAACCTTTTATACAGCCGTGGGAAAGCCAATATCTTTCGTCTCAGCTTCCAGCCAAGTGTGTCTGTTTTTGTTACTGTCCTTTGAAGCGCAGTTTGTCCTTGGAAATCCAAAATAATCCAGATTTATTCAGTTAATGTACTTTTTTGCATTCGTAAGAGTGCCTGTAAAACCGCCGATCAAAAAATAACAAACAACACGTGAAATATGACGCAACAAAATGCATGAAAACAAGCATAAAAATTAAAAAATGGAGTTTTATAGTATTTCAATATTAATTCTAGATTTAAATCAAGGGCAAACATTTCATTGACTTGATTGCATGTGACAAGACCACTCTAAGCATGGAGACTGTACAAAAAGTGGATGGGAAATCAATCAGATGGGGTGCTGAATCGGAGAGCCTCAGTTGTGTTATTACACGAAGCATTTTGCCTATTATTGTGAAGATCACAGAGGGGCTTATGTTCGATGAAGACGAGGGTTTGGATGCGGACCAAGTCTTGAAAATATGTAGCGTGGAACAGAAAATACGCTGCATTAAAACCTTCGATCAAGAGGGCCAGGGGTTGGAAATTCCGTCGTGGGACAAAATCAAGGTGAAGTTGACGACCACCCCTGACGAGATATATCGTACCGTGAGAGATCTTTATGCTGCCGAGCGTTTACCGCGTTTCATCGAAAATCAAAGGGATTTTACAATGTACAGTCAAAAATTCAATGCTGGGACTGTATTTCAAGTTATAAAATTCAATGACGACCAGAATTTGTCAGTTATCGTAATTGGGAGCAGAAAATTGCGCATCTTATTGCTTGCATCAGTTCGTGGAGATTTCAAAGCAACTGTGAATCCTGAGGAGAAAGACACGGAATTCTTTCTCAGGGATTTAAGGGACAAGCAACTTCCGATATGGGTAGAACTTTTACCTCTTGACAACGAAGAAGAGGATTTGAATTTTGAATCAAACAGGATAGCTTGTATTGAAAAGATGCATGTTGAAGACATTGTTCATGCTTTTAATTACATTGGCGAAGAAAAATACCAAGTAAAATTTCCCAAGAATATTGATGTTAAGTTAACGATTGGTAATGGGTCGAGAAAGAAGAACCTGTGTATGTAACAATGACTAGTCCAAAACATGGGCCTGATCTTCAGACAGAAAGTACGGAAGACCTGAATTGTGGTGACAGTGGTGGGAAGATTTCATCGCCTGTATTTGATTGGGGCAAAAAGTGGCATCAGATAGTGCATGCCTCATCTCCAAACCCATACAAATTGGAGCCATCATCGCTGCTTCGAAGCAAACAAATCATTGATAGAGATAAAGATGAGCACGTGTATGATACGCCAAGATTCAATGTTCCTGCAAACCCAGACAAAAATACCTTATCCGTACATCTGGCAGATTATGAAACTATTAACAGTAAAGATTGTACAACTAAAGCCTTGCGTCCTGCATCCTTAGGCCGGATACCTACAACCACCTTCAGCGAGGGAAGTTGCTTATTTGAAAATTCCACAATCTCTCCTATACAGTCACCAGTCTGTGAAACCACAAAAGTGGACCCAGCAATTCGCAACTCAAGTATAGAGGATGTAAGCAGAATTTTGAATCGTCTTCATTTAGAGAAATTTGCAGATGCATTTAGAAACGAACAGATCAACGGGCAACTTCTCCTCCACATAAGCGAAGCAGACATGGTTACAGACCTCAATTTGACCCGGTTCCAAGCAAGGAAACTGCGACAGTATCTTATTGGTTGGAAACCTGACGTAGAAGTATCAACACAAAAAACCCCAACAGACGTTAATGCCAACCATATTGGAGATTTTCCTTCAAAATGGACAGAAGAAGAGGTCACCGAAAGATTGCAAGCCATAAAATTGTACTCTTTGGGAGAGTTCTGCAGAGAAAACCAAGTCAATGGAGCATTGCTAATGAAAATGATCGACAGCGAGATACTGGACAGTTTACGATCAGACCATGGCGTAACACTTACTGGCTTTCAAGAAAAAAAACTGTACGCATATGTCAAAGAGGACTGGCGACCAGACATGCAAATATGACGTCAAGCATTCCATTAAAAATGCAGTCAGTGCGACACAAGCAATGGCTATATCAGTAATTTGACTGTTTAGTCAAGAAAATATTGAGCATAGCATAATTCAAATTCAATTGAGTAACTACAAGTGGAAATCATAAAAACCATTGCATTTTCTAAGGGACTCTACCTAAGGGATCAATACTTTTTCTTTTAACAGAGGAAAACAAAGCAACATCACCAGAGCTGGAGGGGTTTTTATTCCTAGTTAGTGCCGCATTGTGGTATCGTCGTATAACTTTTAGTGTACCACAAGGTTCTGTACTGAGTCCATTACTTTTTCTTATTTGCATTAATGATCTTAAATATCGATCTATTTGTAAAATTTGTGCCATTCTAATGATCGTGTCTTTTTAAATCTCTTTTGAAAAACACATCTAAAATATGCCGACTAAAAAAAAGGCGGAAAAATTACGGCTATCCCCAGTACTAGCAGAAACTAAAACCTGATAGGGGTTGCAAATGCACCAAGTGCATTTGGTACAGTCCTCAAACAGATTTACCTTGAGCATAAGTTAAATAACCCCCTTTGTTACAAAACAAGCCCTATTTTTTGGCTTCCAGTGTTTATCATTTCCATACATCAATCAGATCTCCTCGATTGCAGTACGATTGTCAATTTTTGAGTCTGATGGGGCTTCGTCATTTGTTCCAAACGTAACATTACATTTGGTAAGCGGCTACCGATTGTTGGCCAACTCTACATTGGAGACAATTCATGCAATAAACCTTAAGAAATGATTTGTTGAAGCAGCATATTTTCACTAACAATTTTCGTTGCTGAATGGGTGTTTTTCAGTTCTAAGGTCATGATATTTGACAATGCTGGAGAATGGCCTTATTTGTCGATTGTGGTAGACAATAGAGCAAGCAAGAACGTTTCTACTTTTCTGGCATTTTCAATGCAACTTCACTCACGATTTTACTACCAAATCAATTTAATCAACGGTTTACACACTTAATTTTGACGATTCCCGAATAAAATTCATAAAAACCTAAGAAAATTGATGGAAAATGTTGGCAATTCTGATGAGCGACGTCTCAGCTACAGATTTGGCTGCGCAGCATCGACAACATCTCCGACAACTGCAATTGCTTCAATCTCAACTCTTGCAAGCTTAAAACGAGAAAATGAAATAATAAATGAATACACAACATTGATTTGGCTTTGCAGAGAGAACATTTGATTGGCATCCAGATGAATCGGGTTAGTCATACCCAGGATAACATAGATATTCACTTTTCGTGACTGACGCTCAATCTTTGCTTGCATGTGATTGTCGAACTTTCAGACGATTTGTGATTCAATGTGATTGTCAAATATTCATATATTTTGCGATTTAATGTGATTGTCGAAATTTTATATGGTTTGTGATTTAATGTGGTTGTCGAAATTTCAGATGATTTGTCATTTTATGTTATTGTCGAGCTTTCAAATGATTTTGATTTAATGTGATTGTCGAACTTCATATGATTTACGATTTCATGTGATTTCATCGGATTTTCGTTATTTCCTTTTCCTTATTCAAGTCAAAAGCCGTATCCCAGACCTTTGCAACGACAGACCATTTCTTTCTCGTTACTTTCGATCCACACCTGTGTATAAATTTTCTGTTTACGTTCGTTCATTATCCGACACTTGTACTATGAAGAGTGTCGGACGAAAAGTACTTTAGTATGCTATACTTCCATCATTTCATGCCATCTTCAAATATAGAAAAACATTCAGAATGTCTCTTTAACAACAACAACAAAAAACTTTCATAAAACTTATATGTTTGCCTCATGGAATCAAGTAGAAAAATTCTCTATAGCTCTGCGGCAGTGATTGGTTAAATCTACCAGCACATGTTCACATTTCTGATAGGCCTATTTCGATCCACAAGAGGGTATATATATTTCCCGTAAAACTCTTCGATCATAATTCTGATGTTATACACTCGGAGGAATTTTATACTTTATTCAAAGCCATTTCTAATATTTAAAAAAATCAATAGGGGTTTGCATGTATTTAGCGATTTGGGGATGGGCGCCCCCTGGCCTTCAGACGTTAAATCTCTTCAAGAATATTGACTGAATGAAGAAAGGGTTAATTTTATCATACCTTTGGGAGGTTAGCACATTGATAAGCAGCCCTCGCTGGGTAGGGTTCTTTGAAAACTGAAAACAGCAAATGTGTGTAAGCAAGATAAATAAGAGACAAAATAAGACTTATTTTATCTTCGTGTAAGATGCATAGAAAATAACGAAGCATCATGATATATCATTGGTTTATGGAGTTTATTAAATATTTTGCATAATTATCATAATTTGTAAGTAATATGTTTTTTGAATTGGAAAGTAACGAGGCGGTACGTTTTGAAATCATGCCAAGTTTTGTACGTTAATGGTTATGTTTTGACTACGGTTATACGATTGAGAATTTCAGCGGTTTGTGTATGAAATATATATCATTTGTGGAGAAAATCTGTTTGTTTATTCGTTTGGAACTTGTATCTTAACACAAAGGGAAATTACAAAAAACCTTTTTAATAAGCATCTTGTTAAATGTTCGAAACATCGTCGTAAATGTGGCGAAATAATTTCGCTGTTTGGCACAACCTTTAAATAATTGACAATTATCAATAGCACCATCAGCGATTTTAACCAGCAATAAAGAAGTGAGGATACTTTTTTACAATTTACGACACATAAGCGAAATTTCCGAAAGTTACGAGAAATCTGGTGTTTACGGGGTCTAAACCCCATCTGACCCGCTTTCACGGCTCCCCTGGCACTCTTATTTTGAAATTTTATTTTGAAATAATCACACAGTTCAACACATTTGAATTTATGCAGCCAAGTTTCGTTTACATGTTTTTGTACATTTGAAAGCCACGATTCTGCATAAGCGAAGCAATAAGGCATCGCATGAGCTGTTTGAAAATATCCTTCACTCTTTATTTCGGATTTTTCGCAGAATTTTTATTTATACATTCACTACAATATCCCATATGTGCGGAGCTGAAAAATTTCTCTTAACATTTTTGATAAGTTCATCCTTAGCAGATGTTGCACAACAAGAATGGTTCAAAAAGGCTAATCATTGTTGTACAACAAGAATGGCTCAAGACCAGAGCCTTGAGAAACTCCCTAAAATAACCTTTTCACATTATAGGAAGCACTATTGATCGTGCACAAATAAGCCACTACAGTTTTCAAACAGTAATTCCACACATTTTCAGCTTTTTTTATTAGATTCCATGACTCAACAGTATCGAAAAATGATTAAACCGTTTCGAAATCCTTCTTCTGAGGTGACAGGAAACGTCTTAAACAGGGTTTTTTCCTTCCCTGGCCGAGAAGAGGGTGTTGCCAATGTGCCGGAAAATACAACAGTGCATGAAATCAATTTTATCAATAACAACGACCTTTTAACTTTTTTCGAATGTTTTTAGATCACGAGTGGTACCTTTCTGTATTGTGTCGTTTCCAGTCATTTTGAATTGTTCCTGCATGCTGTTTTAATACTTTTTTCAAAATTATCGGAAAGATGCGATAAATGCATTGAACAGAACCTCTTATCTACAGGTCGGATAATAGTAGTTTTGCCCATATCAGAAAGGAAGGCAATAGGGATGTTTTGCAATGGTTTACCACTGTTACAAACTGATGAAATGATCTCGCGGCAATATTTCCGCCCAACAATACCCTTGGTACCAGAGCCACATAAATTGAAGAGCTGAAAAAGAAGATAGGAGTGGAGACGCTTTTCTGCTTTGCATTCTGTTTACGCGCTCGAAATTCTGTAGCTCTGTGGAGAAAAAATTAATTTGTACTCTCTTCAAATTAGTGAAGTTTCTTTCACCTAAAGCCCCTCGACAGGACAGTGAGGTAAGCAGTAAATGTAGGTATATCGTTGTATTCAGAAATATTTCGGCAGCATGCCCTTCAATAAGAAATGCAATAAGAATTCGGCTTAATCTAACATCCTTACTCAATACGCGGTGTATCCGGGTTGCTTTGCGTATTAAGAACACAATTACAGGTATTCAACAATGCGATAATAAAGCAAAGCGATAAAAGTGCTTCTTCGAAAGAAGGATCGAATACTTACATGTACCATAGATTTCATTAACTTTGGCAAAATCGTTTATGTCAGCAAGCAGGACGGTTGTCTTGACAACTAAAACATCAAGAAATTATGTGTTCATGAAGAAAGGTAGAGGTATGGTGATAATAGAATTGCCAACAATTAGACGCTATTTAGAAAGATTCAACATTTCAAAAAAATATTTATTCTGAGAGGGCATACTTTGCAGGCGACATATTTACAAAGCAATGGCAGACAGTCACAAAAACATGACTTAATAAATAAATGTACAAAAAAACATGATTTTGTATCAAGCATGTTAAAAAATGAAAGAACTTCTCACAACAATAACAAACAGGGGGATCTAGAGATCATGGCTGCCACACAGGTTGGGGCTGGGGTTATATGCAATTAAGTGTTCGAGAAGCTTCCCTGAGATTAAGATTCTGGGAATTTGCTGATGATTTACTAGCCTTGTTACCTCTCAAAACAACAATGACCTCTATTGACTAATTGAAGCTTTCTGGAAAATCATTTCATACCTAGCACTAACGTGCTTTAGTTTTCACTTTTCTAACGTTGTTTAACGAGTAAAATATCTACAGCAGATAATCTCATAGAGATGCAAATACCTTACTTTAAGTATTAGTGATTTATTCGAAGAAGAGAAGGCAAATATATATAAATCTATACAATATTTGAGACATGAAAGTTTATTGCATATTCTGTTCTGTTTTTCTTTGGATGGATATTTTCATGCTTTTCTTCAATAACCTTGTACTAAAAAATGTTCTTGCTTAAGACCTGGTTTGCAAAAAAAATTAATTAAACTTGCTTTTGTGGGATTGCTATCAAAAATTAGATTGTTTAGCAGAATCAATGGAAAAGTTTTGATTAATCTATTGCCTCTTTATAGCAATATTTCATATAAAGGTCCTGATAGTTTTGTACTTTATCATAAAAAATTAGCTGATGTATATGCAAAATCCTTATTATAGATATTCTAGCTGCAGATCTGTTTTTCATTGAATTCAGTGACATCTTTGTCAAAAGAAGGATAGCAGCTCATGTCAAAGAGATGTCAAAAGAATAATAAATGTTAATCACCTTGAGATAAAAGCAGAGAAGTATCAGTACACACCTTTGTCAAAACTTGTCCCAGCAGCTTCTAGAATATGTCCCATATTTTGCAAGGCCTATAAAATGATGTGGTGTTATAGAAGATTATTGAAGATCAGATGGACAGATAGGGTTTCCAATGAAGAAGTGCTACAAAGAATGAATGTAACCCCTATGCTTCTTACCATCATAGCAAAGAGAAAAGCTGCACTCTTTGGTCATGTGCCAAGAGGATCAAGTGGAGCAGTTTTTTGTAACATCGTGGAGGGGTACATTGAAGGAAAAAGATCTAGCGGTAGGCAAAGAAGGACTTGGATGGACGACATTAAAGAGTTGGTTAACATCCAGAATTATGGTATCCTGAAAAGTAGGTGTAGTGACAGGGTTTGTTGGAGAACCATGGTTAGCAACCTACGGATCACATAGAGGCTACCTGGAATGAATGAATGAATAAAATGAAAGAAAATTTATAAAAAATGGTACAACAAAAATGGTACAAATGTTTTTTTTAACAGATCCAATGGGAGATTATGGGACAGAATCTATCACTGCCTTTGTTTCCATGACCAAACTCAGGCAAAATGTAAAAAACGAATTCATAGACAAACTCATACATCTTTTTAAGTAGTGAGTGAGTGTGATGCAACTATACCTGCTTTGCTTGAGCTTGTACATCATCTGATACAAACTGCATTGTCTAAATGCAAAATATTACATATTACTCAAATGCAAAGAGTAGAAAAAACAGACTGTTTATAAAGACAAATGTCATCATACTTGGCAAGCATTGTATGCAAGGGCAAAAAAGTACCACAAAAGTTGATCTTGTGGTTGAATGTGTTCCTTGAATATGTGAATGTAATTCAATTGAAACAGGGAATGTTATCCCGCAGTTTAACTACTGAAGGAGTTAATACCAATTTTGATTAATATCAGGCCTTTCTCATAGCCTGCGCCTGCAGAAAACCCAAGCAAAATAAAATTTTGAGGGCTTTGTTCCACCCACACAGTTTATCAAACCAATGCTATCATTCAATCTGCACAGTTTAGCTTCCCAATGTTTGTACTACTTACTGCTAAATATCAGGGTGTTAGTAAATAAAGAGAAAGAAGTCTATGTGTTTATCACATGTTAACAAACTATTGTATTATCTGCTAAAACTTGCAATGGAATAGGAAATGTGTTTGCACGAAAGGAATAACATATAGCGCAATTAATGCTGCAAATAATTGAAGTGAGAAATGTTACACCATGGTGTCAAATATGAAACAATTTCTTTTCTCAAGTCACAACATATCAACTAGGCATTTCTCAAAAAAGCCACATTGGACCAGAAAAACTAACAAAACTTTGCTACATTCCAAAAAATTATGTTCCTCTTTTGTCTCGTTTTAAGGAGTGGTAATAGAAAATTAAAAGGTAGAAATAAACAAAAAAATAATATGAATAATGTTTAAGGAATAGGTAAGGTAATGTATTTTTGCCTCTTGTAAATACACAAATATAAAAAAAATTAACAACGGTTCTGCAAGGGCTTAATAGCCCCACACAGCTAAACTGGCAAGGGCTTTTTACAGCTTGCATTGTTTTTTCCTGGAGAGACCTGTAATATCCATCAAACTAACATTTCCCTATTATTATTCATAGTTATGTGGTCTTTGTCCTGACAAGAAATTACAATCATCTTAAGCCATACTGAATACTGTGTGCATACAAAGCTGGATTTTGGCCTTCTTGTGTGAACAAGAAAAAAATCAGAGAAAATATTTCTCCAAAGAAAACATTCATGTAGCATCTAGGCATAAAGATTCCACAAAATACGTAATAAGTGTTTGCTATAAATATTTTGAAAAAGATCATCATGTAAAACAGAAATGAAAAAGTCTCATTATGAGAAGAAGATTTCCTGCACAAAGATTAAATTAGTCAATTCTGTGATAAATATTAACGAATAATTGCCATAGAAATAGGCTTTACTAAACAATAAGAACAGAGGCTACAACATGTCTTACAAAAACAAAATAGCGGCCTAATATAACAAAGCTGTTAACCTAATGAAACAACTGACCTGATATCAGCCAATGCAGGCAGCCCTACTAGCTTACATACAAGTTAACAAGTTGTAGTTCAACCCAACAAATAGTTCAGTAATATTTCATAACACATACTAAGCACATGTCTGGCCATTTGAGTAGAGCAATAGCTGTTGCTCCCTTCAAAGGCTGGAGGGGAGCTACAGATTTCTCTCAAAAAATTGCTGCTCTCTATGAAATTAATTTTCCTATGATTCTGTTGTAATAAACCTTCAAATAGCTCACTTTTACTGGGTGTGCTGTTCACTGCTCCCTTGTTAAAAATCTTGTGGTCAGGCCTGCGAGCCCACTAAATGCAAGCATAGACTATGACATGATTAATAGAGGTACCATTGAGAACAAGCATGCTAACGCAGGTGATACTACATGAAGAAAGATGAAGGATAAAGAAGATCTGAAAAAATATTAGTACCTCACTAACAAGTCCTAGCTGCCCTGACACATAGAGTGTACTGTTCACAAGAACAGCTTGACTGTAACAGAAAAGACATGAAACAAAGTAAGAACAAATGAATAAAGGAATAATCAAATCTGCTCTGAAAAATATTTTGGATAACAAAATCTTAGGGTGCAATGAGAACTGCATAAAGCCAATTAACATGAAATTTTTTCAACATTTCACAACTAAAACCAATACCGTCGTCAGATTTCTGTTTTAGAGTATTAATGTTTTATTGTAGATTTTTATTCAGCTTCAATTGGCAAAAAGATAATCATTAAATAAAAAATTGACTTTGGCATTACCTTTTATGTTGATTATTACACTGATTCAACTTATGGCCTCATTTTGAAAAATCCTTCAAATTCTTTATTTTTGATTTTAGTCTACTTGGAAATTCTCATCATGGTGTTGCTCAAGAAATTAATTTTATGACGACATAAAGACCAAAATTTTATAAGGGATTTGACACTGATTGGCGACTGGGGGGGGGGGGGGTAAAGTTTCACCAAGAATGACTTTTGCGGTCAAATCCATTGCAAGTTTTCAAACTTAATCTCTCCGTAAAATCTGAAATTCACTCACAAACAATATGAAAAATTGTATCCGGTATAAAATTATGGTGATAAAACAAAATCTGTGCTTAAAAAAGTTATATAACTAGATTTGGAAAATTTTTCAAAACGAGGCTGTAAGTCTAATTTCTGAAATTCTGATAGAACAAGAAATATAATTTCACTAATATATTTGTTTACATGCGGAACAAATCGTCAAAGCAAAACAATGACGCCAACAAAATGGGAAATTCTGTATGATTTCAACTTTAATAAAAATTGCTACATCTATTTATAAAAAAGCTTCCTCGGTTGTGGATGGGATGGGACGGACCGTTCTAATGTTAAGGTAGCCTAACCGGCGATTAACGAATGTCTGATGCGTTACTAAAGCAAGCCTCAATAAATCAATAAAGACATTTATTTAATGCCACAAACAATATTCTATCAAAATTTGCCACAACACCTGTAACCATCCTTACCTATACGGCCCAATGGCAGCTGGTGCCTTTGCTGTGTTGATAACTCTCCTTACGATAGCTGCCATCTTGGAAGAAAAATTTCAAGTTATGTCCCAAACGAGGTTGTTAAAAATGGGCGTGTTGGTGAGATTTTTGTTTCTCCAAGAAATTTTGATCACTTGTTTGATGTCTTGCTTACTGGGTGGCAAAGAATCTTTAGAAATCGGGGCTCGAAATTAATTAAGAAGATGAAGTTGTCTTGAATAAGTCACATTTTGCTTCAAGACAACTTAGCTTTGCGAGGGAAAGCAATTGAGAAGACAACTTCGGTTAACAAAATTTTCGTTGAACGTCTTCTTTATTCAATTTAATTGCCTCTAATAAACGAAAAATCTTCACTATTCTTCATATATTGAATGGTTGTAGATACACTGGGAGAGATTTGGAGGTTCTTTTAAAACTTGAATTCAGTCTTTATAAATTGATAAGCCTTTGCAACATCCAGCTAGGTCCTTGTCTAAAAAGTAGTATTTGAGTAGTGGGTGGCCACAGAAAGGGTAGCCATCAACCGCGAGAACAGGAACTAGACACCCTGCCATTGTCACAGAGGTGTTGCCCTGCCCTTGAAAGGATTCCAATCTGAGAGTACGAGACTACCTTTTAACTTGATAGACTGACAGGCAAAATGTAAAAAAAAATTTTTATCGTACAAAACCAATTTCTTTTAATAACGTCACGAACGAAGCAAATATTATAAACGCTAAATGAATGTTATTCAACGCACTACTTCAAGATGATAAAGGCAAATAAAAATCCAGTATTCATAATTCATAAAGAGGATATCGAAGAGTTCGAGTAAACTTTCGAATGAATACAATCACAAGAACGTAACTTTCAATATAAAGACGTTTACTCCTTCGCAGTGCACTTACTGTTTATTTATGGATAATTCTATTGTGTCAACGAATGCCTTGAGACAATGATCACACGCTAAAGCACGAAGAAGAAACAAATGCTCCTGGGCAGTTACCAATGAGGAAATGAAAACACCTTGTACACCACAATAAAAGCAAAAGAAGCTAAGACAAAAATGTTTTAATGTAAAGTGTCATCTGAGCCTCTTTATTTTTTAATACTGGTTCATATTGACAGTTTCTCAGAAGAAAATCAGCCTCAAACACTGGGTATACAAACAATTTTGTTCTCATTAAAAAAATAAACACATCTACATATTCGAACACTGAACCCTCATAAGAAAATACGTTTAATCAAAGTAGGCCATCCTATGATTACGCAACGTAGAATCGCGGTGAAGAAGCAAATATTCCAGCACATCCGCCAATAAGTGCAAGCAGAAACACAATGGTGGACAACCTATCGACAACCTGCACAGCCCTGCGCCATTCTGCTTTTGCATCCTCTGCCCTCTCTTGGTTTGTTATGGTTGAAACAATCTTCTTTACTCCTTCGGCGATTTCCATTTCAGCAACGCTCATCTGGACTTGGGCTCGGCGAACTAACTTGAGGTCGCTTTCTTCCTCCCGTGAAGCTTTGATCTTGTGAACAGCTTTATCACCATAAGGGTTGTTTTTGTGAAGAGCAATATCACCATAAGAAATTCTTTTCATAATAGGGTTTTCCACCCCCTTTGGTTCATGGAGGTCCACCGAATTCCGCTTCTTGCTGCTGCCATCAACGCAGACTAACCTTGCCAATAAATCGTTTATGAAATAACGAACAAATCGTGGCACTTCGCTGACGTCCGAGTTGCTGTAATGCAGAAATTTGATGACGATGCAACTCTCGATTAGCGCCAAAGCGGAGAGGACAAGAACAACGCTGAAGAAGTTGCTTGCAAGTGGCACAGCATCACTTGTTGGCGGTATGCTTTCAGAAATAAGCAGGAGAAACACCATCATGGCCAGTAGATTTGTAATACCTAGGCCAATTCTTTCGCCACTTTCCGGCGGGAGAAGGAAGGTGATGGCCGCCAGTACGGCAATCAATATTCCAGGCCAAATCAAATTCAGCAAATAAAAGCTTGTTCGTCTGATGATTATGACGTCATAATCAATGACAGGGTATGGCACATTTGGACAACAATCATAAAAGAAGACTTTGCGCCTACCAGGCATGGCTTCAAGATTCCATTCGCCACTTGGAACCAGATTTTTAGTGTCTCCTGTGTCTCTTACGATTGAGAAGTTAACCATCAGTCCGTTGTATGTCCACAGACCGAATCGCATTGGACAAACCTGTCTGTCAAATGGAAAGTATTTGATATCGACGCTACATTCTGTTTGAAGGATCAGCGGACAAAACCAAGAGCAGGAGCCATCAGAACTGACGATTATGTTTGTTGTCATCGACGTATCAAGAATGCCACCTCCATCGTTGTCGACGCTAAAAAAATGTGGAGCTCTCACACTATTACAAAATTCTTACACTGATTCAATAGAATTTTGCATAGAATGTTTCTCATCATGAGCTTCAGTCTTACATTTTATCAACAACCTATTTGAAATATGCTTTGCTTATTTTCGCAGCTTTTTATAGACATGCCTAACAAGAACATAAAAAACACAAACAAAAAGTATCTAATAAATTGCAAATAGCTTAGGCTTGTAAATTGATCAGCTTTTTCTTGAATCATAAAGCACAACCCATTTAGTTAATTGCAAATAACAACCGGTGTTTACCTGTTATAAAGCACCACGTCAGGTTTCCATATTTCTTCTGCGAGAAAATTAATTGATTTAATGTTGCTGTAGTTTTTTGGATCCCAAACCAAATTCTCGTCTTTCCAGTACTAGAGAAAATAACGGTTGATTTTTTGAGATGGATAAAAGCACTGTGACAGTAAAAAGCTACTTACTCCTCCCAATGGTCACTTCTAGAATCAGTTGGGAGCTACCCTTCCCTCTCATGCTCCGCGGTTCCTATGTTTCTGTCTCTAAACAACTTTATGTGCTGGTATTATACAGGATTTTTTTAAATTTTACGTTACTAATCATCGATGCACCCAAGCGCTTATATTTTTAACAAACATCTCAAAATAATTATTGCTATACTCACAATTCGAATCCACGAACTAGTAGAGAGAACTTGTTTTTTCTCCTCCTGATATTAAAAAGAAAGACCATAGAACATGAGGAATATTCAATTTTCAGCTTTAAACAGATCATTTAAAATCAAATGAAACATTAAAGCGAAAAACTGAATGATGAAGTCTTAAACATTTCTCAGGCAATCTTGAGTACAACTTAATATATCGTTTTAAATGTAGCGTATATAGATAGTTCGAAATAAAACGTGTACAGACCTGCTTTAACGGCATCGAATACTTTATGATAAACCGATAAAGCAGTGATTTTGATTTGTTCTAAGCTTAAGTTCAGTTAGCTTCCAACTATTGAAAAAAACTTAAGTGTTACTGCTATAGAGCTTCTAGATATGTTTAATGCACCTCTTCAATACTTCAAATCTATTAAGACTAAAAGTTATCCCCCTGAAAACGGAATTTTATTTCTAAAAAAAATTGTTCTGTCACTGTCAATTGATAGCCAGATCAAATATTAAAACTAACCTTACTTAGCAATATTCTTTGAATTTCCTTATAAATGGCTTTGAAAAAAACAAAAATTTATAGCATAAGGTTGTATGTTTATATGATATGTTTATAGTTTATGTTATAAATTGTTTGCTTTTTTCAAAGCCATTTTCAAAATCTGTACCGCAAAAAAATTGTTCACAATTTCCTTATAATTCTAAACCTCGGAGCAGGTTTCATTGCTTTAAAAACGTTTTTTATCAGAAAAAGTCTAATTCTTAGTCAAAAGCTGGGCCTTTTTAATTTATCTACATAAATCTACGGATTAATAATTCTAAGTACACTAGGGTATCAAAAGTATTGCACCACCTCGAAGGAGGAGAAATGGCGCAAGAATGATCGAAAGCTACTGTTATGCAAATTAATTCTGTTTTTAAGCGGCGAATGACAATTGGTTGAAAGCAAAACAACAACCAATCAAAACTTCAATCTATTTAGAGCATTTTTTTAAAAGATAACAGTGGCAAACGTCTTTTAACAGTCTCAAATTTCAATATTTTGACGGGTAGCAACAAACTTTTGAAACCGCAAAAAGGCCTCCTTGAAATGGACCCATATATTTGGGAAACGTATTCTTGTGGAATTTCTTATTAGGCCTGGAAACCTCTTAGAATTAATGATTCTCTGGTTTTTGGACCACCATTTGGGTCATGGTTTGTAACCTTTTTCATGTGAAGTCAAACTTTTTAAGTGATGTTAAAAATTGGACTCTACTCAGACTGTGTCAAAGCTTTAATTTATTTTGTTTGGAAATAATTCTTTGTAAAAATGGTTTCCCTTTACTCAGGTAAATTTTTCTTTTGTATTTGTTCAAAATGCTCATTATATTTTCTGTGGACGGATTTTGAGCTGCAAAACCTTGCCCAGTATCGAGTTTCATTTCCTTTACTGCCCCTAGGTGTAAACGCAGTGAAATAAAACCGATAAGTTCGTTCCCCTCTAACATCAATTTATTTTTGGTCGCCCACTTCTTTGTTTCTTTACTACAGTAACACTCTCAAGGAATCTTTTTTAATTTCCCGCCGCTGTTGTGAAGCTGCATCTAACTTGGTCAACATATTTTTTTAAAACTAAAGACCACTTCTCCGTTAATATTTTATAGCGACTCGCCTCTCATTTGAAAATTTTGCTTCCTTAGGCATGGTCTACATTTTTACAAACCAAAATATCTTTGCGTAATTCAAACATTTCTAACTAGGTTTTCTATGGCGTCAGCAAAATTTGCAACTTTTTCCCGCCGAAATCTACTACAAAATACGCCTATTTCACCCAGTTCTTGCATTCAAATATTTTGTACTGCCAAAAAGTTTTCAAAAAGTGCCGCCATTTTGAACAAGGTGGTGCAATACTTTTGATGCCCTAGTGTACTTTAGTGTAGCAGCTTCAAAATGTTATTTATTTCGAGACAATATTTGTAGATTAAGAAAATTTCTGTCAGCAAACCTACCAAATCAAGGACTGCTCTCAAGGCAATATCAAATTTAACATCAACTGGGTTGCTGTGGTTCTTGACTGGCCTAATTGTTTTTAAATAGTTTGTAATCAGCTTCTTCTTCAAGTCATGCTCGGATCCAGTCCCTTCAACAAAGAACGCCGAACGTTTAGAGATGAAACCAGAAATTTTCTGGCAAGGGGTTGACTAATCCAGAGGGGAGGGGCAAAATATCAACTAACAAGGGGTTGAAGTATCAGCGAAGAGTAGGCTAAATTATCTTCCCTTCTCTAGGGTTTATAAACCACTAAACAAAAAGAATCAGCAGCTAGACTTGAAATTCAGAGGCCAGATATGAGTTAAAGGTGCAAAATAGAAATTCTTTATGGCTTAGAAAACAGACAGGGGCATTTGATGATTGATTCAAACAATTTCAGATTTTTATATAAAGCAATCGATCATTTTGCGAAAATACCCAGACTTTGAAGATTTTCTTTATGGCAACCATGGCTGTTCAAAAGCCGATTCGATGCTAAAAGACATGAAGAAAAGTATATCTATAGAAGATTTAATTCTTATATGCTTCTTTTGAATTGACCCATCAAGAAGCATTTCTGAACGCGTGGCATTCAAGATATCTCTTCTTGTGCTTAGCAGCGTCCCCTACAGGAGGCTAATAGCACTGCAGAAAAGTATGCAGAATTTGATCTGCTTAAAATCTTTTGAAATTTAGAAGAGAAAAACGTGTTTGTGCCATCATAGAGCAAATATGAGGATTAACATCTTGCAGCTGGCTGCAGCAGGACTTCATTTTTAGTTAGGAATACTTCTTAGCAATCGCCTATTTTGAGAACTCTTTAGTGGAATTTGCTCTCAGCATTTCATTCATCTACCAAATTTCAATTTAGGTAAATTCGTTTTCCTTTGCAAAGACTATTTGGAAAGATACGACAATGGTATGAACAGTCTCAAATTTGTCTTAGCGCAGTTCAGACTACCCAAAAAATGTATTCTTGACACATAGACTTAAATTTGATTTGGTACAAAAAGACTGAAAATTTATGCCATAGAACAGATTTAAGTTGGATCCAAAGATAGGTTTGTTTATTTCAAAGCCTTATAATGCTGCAAAAAATTATATTCGTTTATCTTATGACAAACGAAGAACTCCAACGCGATAAAACATTTCTTTAAATAAACACTGTGCGATTACAACACCGCGATTACAACACCAAACAATAAAAATAGCAGAAGTTTAGTTTCATGCTACTTTGTTGTAAGCATAGTTTATTGTGTAAATATATTGTAATAACTTTAAGTAACTATAAATAACTTTAGATTATACGCCTTTTCACGTTTCGAAAGCCCAACAAGAAGTGCAGCATACCATTCTTTTGGTAAATTTTAAAATATTATTATTGGTAGAAAGTTGGTCAGTAGCCAGAGAAATAGCGCCGTGGGAGAAGGCAGGAAGACAAGTTCCCTTGTAACATGAAAATATTTTCTTGTGTTCACTTCCTCTGTGCAGAAAGAAAGTGAACTCCCAATGCCATATTTCAAACGACATGGTACATTTTATTACTGAACTGTCATGCAAGCGTGGAATTGGTTTGCGTTTCATTTAAATAATGATGGCATCGGAAAAGATAAACACGACCCCTTTCTCAACTCAAGATGCACACTGAAGTAGATTCAGGGAAGGATTGATCACACTTTCATGTAAACAAATATCTCGTCCACTTCTTTAGATAGGAATCGTTACGTGTGAGAGTAAAAAATAATCTGTCAACTAAGCCCCCTTCTCTTCCCCTTCATAACATGGCTGGAGCATGCGCAAAGGACTCAGTCACTATTGCGCATGTCCCTAACATCTTGTGTATGCACTTTCGAATAAGAACCAAAAACAGTCTTATGCTCGAAGAATAAGCATGGGCCTCGACACAGGTTGGAAAGTGGGGGGGGGGGCCGGCCATAGGATTCTCTAACACCCATACCAAAATATTTTGGAATTCTATTGTTTTTAAAAAAAGTGAAGGGCCATG